AATAAATTATGACAAAAAGAAAGTTTGTTATAAAACAAATTTTTCAATTCACTCAAAATTAATGTTGATCAATTTATAAATATATTTTATTCTTTATAAATATATTTTATTCTTTATAAATATATTTTATTCTATATTATGATTAAATTGTTCTAATACGTCGTCCTCTAAATGTATATATGATATATATTTGAATAGATAAATAGACTTTATTTATAACAACAATAATAGGCTACAGATTTGCACGCCAAAATAATTTTTATTTTATTTTATAAGTTAATATCGCTAATTCAATAAAATTAAATGAGTGTCTCTTAACTCTCTCATTTATTAATTTACCGTTTAAAATACCCTTTATTTTATTTCAGTTTGTAGTTGTCAAAAGACGTTTATTTAATTTACATTAATTTAGTAACGTGCCTTTTTTTTGCTTCTTCCCATACCATCTTTTTACTTTCACCATACTTTTAATTCTCTCTTCATAATATATCACGTCGCTCATTTCATTGTCGACCATTTATTTATGAATACATTTATTTATGACCACAATATAATAAAATATACCTCTTGTTCTTGTAAACCATCCATTATCTCTTCAAGATCGGCTTCACTCTTAATACGAGCACCAACTCTGTTAAAACGCTCCTTATCTTCCCTTTGTTTTCGCAATTCGGGAAATACCTTCTCGAAGAACTCGCGATTCTTTGTTTCCTTCGATTTCCTCTTCTGCGTTGCCTCTAATCGTTCCACCTTACGATGCCATTCTTGAACCAAAATTGCGTACGTTTGTGACTGCTGCCGATGAAGAGACGCGCGCTCAGCGTGTTCTCTCCGAAGCCTAGCTATGAGTCTGGCACGCATACACGTCTGATGCCGTGTACGATTTTCTTGGTATACACTTGTGTCCGACGGTTGATTATATAAAGGTAGTTCTACTTTGGGACCCAGTCTTTCTAAGAGTCTATGAGCTTCTTCCGCCTTTCTCTGTTAATTAAAATATATCAAATTAAAATTCAATTTATTAATTATCTATTTTTTTGTACTTCAATATTATATAAATTTTTCTGTACTTCAAATATATTAAATCAACTAATATTTTGATGATACAAATAAAAACAACTTTGTTAACACATAGCACAACTTATGTTAGTTAACACACATGCATCCAGATTCAAGTTAAATGTTTTTCTTAGTCATTCAACATATAAAAGTACTTAATTATTATTACATAATTTACCCTATTCTCAGCGTAGACCTTTTGCGCCATCGATTGATGCTTTGGTTGCTGTGACTGTTCCTCAGTGTCTTTTACTTCTAGAGGCTTATTCGCTGTTTCTTCCAAGTCTTTTAACCTCTTTCGCAACATATTTAATTGATTCTCCCTTTTAGCAATCTCCCTGTCAACCTTGCCAATTTGTTGCAGAAGATCATCCTTGGTACTCCTATATTGTGCATCCTCTTGCGTACTTGGCTCTGGAAGCGTAGGCGAAATAGCTTCCGTCTGTGGCGTATACGCTCCCACGGCAGGCTGCTCCTAGCAAAAATTCGTCATATCATTTTGTGTTCAACCTATTCATTTCATTGTTTTTCGTATATCCAATCCATGTTTTATTATTTGTTTGTTTACTTAAGTATCCATTTAATCTAAAGTATTGATATGCATTTAAATCATTCTATATTTAGTTATATATTAATTTATTTATATTTATATATAGTTATTCTCTGAAAATGTAAATTAATCTCAATTTACATCCCATACTATAAATGTAATTAATTGCAATCTGATTTATTTATTTAATACAATCTCGCGAAAATTAATACTATTATTTCAATGTTTTGATTTTCAACAATATAAATCGATGATATTGTATAAACATGAGACAGTCCTAAACTAAATAGTGAATTAAATCTAAAATGTAATTTTGTATTATCAACAATAAAACTGATTTTTATTATCGGCACTGAATATTATCAGAATATATCAAATGGATAGATGACTCCCTTCAGTTACACAGATTAATCTCTCGATTATCGAGCAGATTGTACATTCTACCCACCCTGGTGTCTATCCTAAGTGGTTGTTGCAATTGTACAATATGTTGCTGTTGTTCTTGCTTGCCTCCACATGGGTCCGCGGGTGACAGGCAACGCGGCTGAGGCTGCGATTGCAGCTGCTGGATCTGCTGATGTGGCCCTAGACGGATCTTTTTGAAAGGTGGCGCATCCTGTTGCAGACTGGACATGTCGACGGGGGTGCGACTGCAATACTGATCAGGCTGGACGGGCATGAGGCCTACTCGCGGCGGATTCCTTGTCGCTGTCGTATGTTGCTGATAATCCGATGCGGCGGCGGCGGCAGAAGGCGATGGTATAGAAGTCACTGAAGAGCCGACAGGCGGCAAGAGGGATATCCTCTGCCGATCGCCTCTGCTACCAGCTCCCATGCTGCTATATTCCGCCGCGGACACTACCCCGACACCGCCAACCCCAACTTGCGACAGAGGACTGTTGCTCACATTGATAGCAAGCCTCTCGTTCACCTGAAAACAAAACACCAACGTCAAAAATATTCTACATGCTTCCTTTCTTCCTCCATCCCTCTTTCTTGCCCTGTTCTCCCCTTTCATCGTCGTTTCACTTATTCTTTGCCAGAGATTCAATTTATCTCCCGCACCTCTCTAACCTTCTCTCGGAGAAACTATTTCAGGAAAATCGATGACCCGGTTCAAGAAAACACGCGGTCCCGATATACCACGCGACCGCTGCTCTGTCCCCTACGTTCTGTCTACCGCAATCATCAGTTCAAACTTTTTTTCCTCCTTTCAATTTTACTGGTAGTTTTGCATTATGATGCTAGCACAATCGCTTATCATAGTTCTTTCCTGATTCGCGTAGACAATTTTATATTATGAATTTGGTGATCTCGACCGTACCATAAGTCTGAAGAAATTATTCTATGAGTAGGCTAAATAATCAACTCAAAATATATGTAAGAAACAAGCAAAATAAGATGAGATTGTATTCTTTTGCGTGCGCGCGCGCGCGCGCGCGTGTGTGTGTGTGTGCTTGCGCGCGTGTATGTGTGTGTGTGTACATGCGCATATGCTTAGTCTGAGTAGGCGAATGTAACTTTCTCCCGCCTACTCGTATCGTGCTACAAGCTAAATATGATAATGTCCGTTAAAACTGCATTATGCCGTAAATTTAACTTGATTTAGAACTCATAAAAATTAACTGTACTATAAACAAACACTGAGAGATTATATCGTCACTTAAAAAATTTTAATAATTAAACTTTCAAAATCTTGGAAAAAGATATCTTTTATAAAAGTTTGACTACTTTATAAATAAAATACACCAATTACGGTTCAACTGGATATATATGTATATTGAAGAGAAAAGAGAGAAATATATTTTATATCATTGCTTAAAATATCTATCTCATTCTCTTAATAATATCCTTTATATTTATATTTCACACTTTGCATACTTTTATTATAATTTTATTCTGTATATTTATTTATTTGTGTAGTTCTATAATCATATCTCTATAACACGTGTGGTTGTGTAAATCTGTGTTGAGCAAATAATGGCGTATTTAAAATTGGCGAGCGTCAGACACGTGCGAATCATATTGTTAAAAAGGGAGGGAAAAAAGGAAGAGGGCCGATAATCGGTGAAAGTCAAGGACGGAGTCGAGCGATATGGTATGCGTGCGATTGCGTTGCGCGATGCGTGTTCCAATTAGTGTAGCGTCTGATGTTATGAATTAATATTGCTCTCTATCCCGTTATTCCTATACTAAATTAACCCAAATATTAACAATAAGCTGAACATGAAATAAAATTTTCATGACATACGATATCTAAATAAATTGTATAAAAATTCTTATTTAAATTCTTTTAAATACATAACTTAAAATAAGAAAAATAAAATATTCTATTCGAATGTTGCTGAAAAGAAAAGATTATTTAGGTCAGAGCAGTCTTAATTTAGAATAAAAAACTAATCGCAAAAGGAAAGGCTAAAAATATAATTGTAACATACTTAAAAATAAAGTCTTTTCAACAAAGGATCGAAAATGACCTAGCCATTGTTCAGCTTAATATTGAAGTACCTATTAAGATAACATAGAAATTGAAAAGAGCAATCTTTTTTTTTTTAATATAAGCGTCTCGCTACTTTTTCTCATGTACCATGATCCCGGTGCAACATCAAAAAAAAACAAAAAAATGAAAAGAATCTTTCTCATTCCCGGGCGTGTTTAACCGTGACCATTCAACGCATCGCGAAGTCATATCAGGAACTGTTGATAGACTCCGAGGAAAAGAAGGCGAGAGATACATCGCGCCTATTTATATGTATGTATAGATATACATGTATACATGTGTGTATGTGGTCCACGTCATGGAAATACCTACGTTGGTAGTGCCAGCACGGTATGTGTCTCTCGCGGCGTAGGGAGTCCCAATGAGTGGCGGCGGCGGCGTTTGGCTGGTGATGACAGTAGGTTGACTAAGAGATGGTGCGGAAACAGGCGCAGGTACGGGGGCAGGTACGGGCACAGGCACGGGCACAGGCACAGGTGTAGTCAACGACGGTGCGGTGGTGACAACTGCCGCTACAGCCGGCGTTGACCCCGAGGTCGGCGGCGGAAAAGGATGAATGTAACGGAGCATCGGCACGGTGACATAAGAAGTGGCACCCCCGACACCACCACCGCCACCACTGCCATTGC